CAGGCACGTGGAGGCCACACACACTACTAAGCCTCATTTTGACTTGTTTTAAGGATATTACATCAAAGTTGGATCAGCCTGTGGCGTTTTTTTCCACTTTAATTTTGGGTGTAACTCCAAATCCAGATGTCCATGGGTTGCTAAATTTGATTTCCATTGATAATTTTTGTGTGATTTTGTTGTCAGCAGGTTCAACTATGTAATGAACAAAGTATTTAATAAGAAAATTTCATTCAGATCTAGGATGCCTTATTTTTGTGTTCCCTTTATTTTTTTGAGCATATCTATGTCTAGATATAGATTTTTTACCACAAGTTGAATAAATAAATTCATCCCCAAATGAATCTTTATCTTTACTAATTTCCCATCTTAGTTTTTTATCAGTGGATCTTCAGAAAGAGTGTTTTTCACCGATTAAAGCTACTTTTTCTTAGCTTCATTCAAGTTTGTTTTCTGTTTCCCCCTGTTTTACAATGATATTTCTTCCCCTTGTTCTGCCATTATTATCTTTGCCTTTTGCACTGCTTCCACACACTCCTAATCACCAATCCATTATGTAATAATCTTCCAGTTGTATTTCAATCTTTCCAAGTATTACTAAGTAGTGGAACTTGCTTCTGCTAAGCAATCCTTATTCAGACATTATATGTCCTTTATTTCTATGGTCTGTTGTTAAAAACATCTTGGATTACTGTTTTGATGCTTATTTTTTCCTCCTCATATCCTTTCTATTATCTGTTTTTAAGATTCCATCTGCAATTAGTTTTCCATCCTACTGAAGCCGTTTTCTCCCATTTCCTTTAATTAACAAATGCCATTTGTTTCTTTTCTTGTTAGTTCCCTTTTGAGATACCATGAGCCTAAATTAACCCATTTTTTCTTGCTATATCTTCTCACCAGTCCTCTTCATCACTTTACCTGTTCCTTTGTGATCTCTGCAAAATATTGGCTGTATTGATTATTCAAATTAGTTGGCAGGGAAATGACTGCAGTACATTTCTTCATCATTACTGGTAGAAGTTCGTGTTGAGAATTAATTTTACTTACTTTTCCTCATGCAGTGCAGTCCAGTCCAAGGGTCTGTTTGGTGATCATCTGCTTCTGTCTGTCTGTCTTTATCTATCTATCTATCTATCTATCTATCTATCTATCTATCTATCTATCTATCTATCTATCTATTGTAATCTATTTTGCTATCCATACTTCTATACTCATCTACCTACCCATCTCTCACTATTATTTTTTATAAATCAGCCAGGGTGGCAACATATCTAATATTCTTTCTTCCTCCTATTTTCCCCACAACAACAATCCTGTGAAGTGGACTGGCCAGAGAGAATAACTGGCCCAAAGTCACCCAGTTGGCTTTCACGCCTGAAGTCAGACTCTTCTGGTTTTATACCCTGATGCCTTAACCACTACACCGAACTGGGTCATCCTTCCCTTAAAATATTTATAATGAACAATGGAGCAGCTATAATTCCGCTGCTGTCTTTCGAATGCGTTGCTTCAAGTAGCATTGTTATATCATAAATGCTATTGGGGTTCAATATATAACAGGGCCCATCAGGGACAACAGTTGGGAATCTCCTGTTCTCGTGCATGTAACCGCTTTGTAATCTTTTCTAATCCATTCTTCTTTCATTACCTCTATGGTTGGAATATCTTTGTACCGAATAGTCGAAACATTTTTCATGTTTAAATTTTGGATTGCCAGGCTAAAATTAGCTCTATTATTGCTGGCATTTGATTTTCCTGTTTTGCAACTATGTAATTGTGTTTTGCATCTGCCTGAATTTCTCTTTCGATAACTTTTCATGGCTGCAGCAACGTGGGAATGATTACTTGCATTTCTCAACCTCTCTCTTATTTTTCCTGTAACTTTTCCTTTAAGGCTTTCCCTTCTTTTTGAATTCCTCCAAATTCCTCCTGCTGTAGGTTTACTAAATGTGCAGTAAACCTTGTGTATGATACACAAGGCTAACCCTCATGTTGTCATAGCATAATACCGTAGTAGCCTGTCCTTTGGAGTCTTAATTGCTTCTTTTGGAAGCATCTCAACAAATGTTCTGTTCAGCTGTTCTATCGGCTCAAAGCCAGCAGAGGGAGTAGCATAATAGAAGGTGACAGCCCAAAAGAAGCCATCACCGGCTTTCAGAGATTTTGTGCAAGAGCTGGTCCCTTGGGCATACAATTGTAGGAAAGGAAGGGAACGTGGTGGCGTGGGGTTTATCAGTGAAAGCCAGTTGTGCTTTGTAACTTTGGCCAGCCACACTTGAATGTCCAAGCTTCCCTTTTCTACATAGAATGTCAGGTACTTAGCATAAATTCTGGCTATCAGATGGTCTAGGACAGGGGCCGCCAACCTTTTGGACCTCAGGGACCACCAAACTCATAATTTTAAATCCCAAGGACCCACTAACCGGTTCTGTGGGCGTGGCCTAATTTGTGGGTGTGGCTTGGTGGTCATATGACTGGCTGGGCATGGCTTGTATGTAAATATTATAAATATTTATATAAATATTGAATTTTTTATTACAAAAAGCAACTTTTACCCAAAATCAGGCAAAGCAGGCAGGCAGATTGAGTTGCTCAGAGAATCACAGATTTATTCAGAAATCTATCTATCTGCCGTTGGCTAGCTCAGTCTGTCACATAAAATTTGCTGGCAAGCAAACTCACAAAATTAACTCACAACACACCATGTATGTAAATGTGGAATTTTTTTATTAAAAAAAAAAGAGCAACTTTTACCCAAAAGCAGGCAAAGCAGGCAGGCAGATTGAGTTGCTCACAGAATCATTCAGTGATCTTTCTGCCATCGGCTAGCTCAGTCTCTCAAAATTTGCTTGCCGTGAGTCTGCACTGAATAATAGAACCTTCAGTCCTAAGGGAGGTTCGCTCTGCTTAGAAGCAGAGTAAAAGATCTAGAGACTAGCTAGAAAGCAAGAAATCCAACCATTTCCTGCTTCCTAGCTAATCTAAATCTCCCGGCACAGCAGAACACCTGATGGTCGGAAAAAGGAAAAATAGTAATTTAGCAGGCAAGTTTGCTGGGTAAGGAGTGAGTGGGCGGGGAGAGTTCCCGCGGGCCATGTGGGCAGCGCAGCCTTGTGTTTCTGTGGAGCCTGGATTAATTGCTTTGGGGGGGGGTTGCTGTGGGGGTGAGATTTCTCTGCGGCCCACCAAAATTTTCTCACGGCCCATCGGTTGGCAACCACTGGTCTAGGACAGTGGTTTTCCATCTGCATGGTCAACAGATCCTGGAGGGCTGTGATGTTGTCATAGGGGGCTGCAAAGGCTTGAAGAAATATCTTGGGGGCTCCATGGCCACCAAAGTTTTTAAAAGGGGATCGATGGTGAAAGAAAAGGTTGAGAACCACTGGTCTAGGAAAATGGATATCCAACCTTTTGGCTTGCCTGGGTCACATTGAATAAAGAGGAACAATCTTGGGCTGCACATAAAACATATAATATACAGTAGTTCATGTATATAAATCACATAATATTAAAAGTTTACAGTCTTGTGGGGCTGCATTAGTCCAGGGCTGCATGTGTCCTGCAGGCTGGATACATCTGGTCTAGGTTTTTTATCAGTTTCTTTCAAGCTTTTATTCATCTCTTTGCATAGATCTCTTGTTTTTCTTTCTAAGACATTTGGTCTTTAGACACTGTAGTCAATCCAGTATTAGTTGTGAGCCTAGTTAACAATTGTCCGTCATCTTTTCGATTTCTAATTAAAGGAGGCAATTCCATTGAGTTTGCCTATAGCTTTGTAATATCTGATTGAAGGGGCACCGCACCTTATGCAAGACCTACTGTTTTCATTTGGGAGAGGAGGCACATCTAATGATGCATGAAGTGTTTTCCTAGATCTTTTATACAACTCTTAAAACTCAACATTCATTGGCCAAGAACTAGAAATTTGGAAAAAAGGTGTGTGTGTGTGTGTGTGTGTGTGTGAGTGAGAGAGAGAGATTCATGTTTGATGGAACCTTGGATATTGATGAATTGGAAATAATAGTTTGGGCAATCTGATGAAGAATTGGGCTGTCCTGCATAATATATCTTTATCAGTAGACTCCATCAATAGATACAGTCATCTCCTGTCTGTGGCCAGGCCTTCCCCAATGGCCATTACTTGCTAATTCCAGTGGTCTAGCTTGACTCCTACATTATCTTGAGATAATTCAAAGCCTGTCTCTATGAAGTCTTTTTAAATTGTTACTTTTATCAGTTCAGTGGATTGAATCACAGCTGCCTTAAAATAGTTAACCTTCTAATGGACTCCTACACTTGCTCTTGAATAATACAACATTAACCAAGCCCTATGTTTGACCTCAGTGCTTCGATATCAGGAAAAAATAAGGAAGGAGAAGTCCTGGTTTTTAAGAGAGTCAAAACTTGTGAGCGTCATTGTTAGGAATAACATGGTTACCTAACGTAGTTTGGGTAAAATAATATATATAAACTATGATAGTGAATTTAAGTGTGTGTCACTTTAAAGTGCAAAGCATGTAATTTTGGGTGCGGTTGTAAAATCGCCATAAGAGGGAGCAAGAGAACTTGATTGATTGCTGGCTTACTGGATTGCTTGCTGACGATGATGGATTGATGGTTTGATAACTGCGTGTTCCCTGTTGCTGAAGGAAGAAAAGAGGTTTGACTTCTTCATATCTCTACTGCGAGGAGATATATTACTGGACTGATATTTGTAAGTTTACTGACCTCTTTTTCGACACTAGACTTTGCAACTGAATAATCCCCGGACGGACTGAACTAGTGTATGATATATGAACTGTTTTTGACTATGCTAAAAAACTCTTACTGGAATAAAACTATTTAGCACAGTGTATCTGTTTTACTGAGTGTAAGCTACAAACACGTTTGTCTCACATATTTGCCTGCCTGCCTGACTGCCGTGCAGGTTCTGCTAGGGTGTATATCCCTTACAGTCATAAACTGCCATGACCACAGTTTCCCTTTTGTCTTCTTTCTAGACCTCTCTTCTGTGGCAAATCAGAAGCTGACCAACTGGGCAAGATCTTTGAGTGAGTCTCAACTTCTTATTATGTACCAAAGGTTGTGGGTCAGTAAATCATCACAAAGAGGAAGTTGTTATCATTATTTAGAGCATTGGTTTTGCTCAATGTGACTTGAGGAAGCTTGACTGATCCTGCGCTACGTAAAGATGCAGAGCAAAGGCTTGTGAGTTGGGTTTGGTGAGCCAGAGAAAGCAGAAGTGACTCATTATAGCTGCGGGATCCTATTCTGTTGATCTTTCTAATTGAGCAAATGGCCAGAAGTAATAGGGGTTTGGCCACTGGCTTTTCTTGCGGGTTAAAGCAAGGACATTGTAACATTCAAGGGGCAGGGCCTCTCATGGAGGATGCTGGGAACTGTAGTTGAACAATATCTGGAGAACACAGATTTCCAATTAATGTACTAAAAAAAGAGAGTAAGAAACTACGTGAATAGAATTCGGTCTGTTTTATCGTTGAAGTTTAATGGTTAGTTGTGCTTGACTCCAGTTAAATTGCATGATCTTCATACTAGGCAGGGCCACAGGGGAAGTATTATTTAGGGGAGTTAATCTTGTTCTGCGCTTACAAGCTCTGGAAATCCTGATTTAGAACAATGATTACAAGATGAAAAACCATTCATTCGTGTAATTTGAAGATTGGGGCTATGGCTGGGAAGCCTTCGGAGTTGCAGCCTTGAAACCAGTCTTGAGTTGGATCTAGCTCATGTTCTTCCCCCTTCTTTCCTTCAGCCTGATTGGTCTCCCTTCAGAGGAAGATTGGCCCTTGGACGTGTCTCTACCACGCTGTGCCTTTGCTGCTCGTTCGCCACAGCCTGTGGAGAACTTTGTCCCAGAAATCGAGGTCCTGGGAGCTCAGCTGCTTTTGGTAAGTTCCGAGACACCAGAGTAATTTCAGCACAAACAAGAGCAAAATGGGAGTTGAGCATTGGGGATAGAATGATCATTGAGAGCCTGAGCTTGGTATTATTCTGAGACTGGAAATGTGCAACAAAGGGGAGAGATTTCCGATCTAGGTAGCTTCCATGAGTCACTAAGTCATTGGTTCTTTGCACCCCACCGAGTTTTGGTGACTCAGTATTTGATAACCAGGAGCGACTTAATTTTCCTCCAGTCATGCTGCTGGTGGCAACTACAACTAGCATCTGAATAATGTACTGTGTGAAATTCAACATTAATCGGAGAATAGCATGAGCAGTACTTTCAGAGTAAGTTCAAGTTTTAGAGGCACGCCAGGGATCTGTCTCTAGGATCTGAGGACTACTGAAGTTGGACCCATCTCCATGGCTCCAGTTCTTGGTTTGCTTGCCTTCAGGCCCTCTCTTGTGGCTCTTGCTCAAGAGGGATTTGGAACACAGCTGCGGTGGTGGATGAACGTGTGCATGTATGTTTTCATGAGATTGTATGTAATGGATTTCCTTTTTTGTGTCTGTATCTCTCTAGGAAATGCTGACATTCAACCCACTGAAGCGTATATCTGCCTTCCAAGCCTTGCACCATCAGTACTTTCAGGACAAGAACGCAGGTGAAGGGTAGCACCCCAGCGAATCCCTAAGCATGGGGGAAGAGACTGTACAAAAGACTTTGTGAATATGCGTATAACGTGAACCCTCACCAAGCGGATACACTCAGACTAGTCCCCAAACTGTCCTGGCTGTGCTAGGATTGAAAGGGTGGGAAGGACAAAGCTCTTGACAACATGCATGAAAACAGAGAGGATCGTCTTGCAGGAAATTGGCCATTGAAATCCTTTCCCACCCTGAAAACGTTAGGACTTTATATAGTGGCGTCTCTCTTGTCACCATGCATGCGCATTCCGTATTCCTGGGTTGATCTCCAGTGGTGTTCTTGGAGGTCTGTTTGTATTTGGGACAGCCTGGTTTGAGGCATCTCGGTCATCTATGGGTTCTTTGCCAAAGGTCTCTTTTGGATAGCCCCCTTTTCCCCCCTCTAATAATTTTTTTAATAACAGTTTACACATAATAATACTGCTGCCTTATCGCATTCCTGTGGCTAACAGTTTGACACTAAAGCCTTGCCTTAGCACATTGCAGAGCTCCACCAAAAAAAAAAAAAAAATGGGAGCAGAAGATTATTTTTGTATACGCCTTCACAATTCTTTTTTAAATTGCCAAGACACCGGTCAGGACAGACCTACACTGTTGGCTATCTCGGCATGGGGAACGTGTTCAGATGAGAGGCACTCTCCATCTGTTTGATTCCAAATATTAATGTGAAACATTTTTAAAAGGCTTTTAAAAATGATAACATTTCAATAAAGGATATATGGGTGAGGTCCAGGCAAGTATAGTTTGGTCTTTCCCTTTTCTTGTCACCTGACGTCGTCTCGCGTTGTGATTAGTTTGTTGAATTGTTATCTGGGTTGGATTACTCAAGTGTTGATTCATCCACACTTCAAAGGGCTTTCAGGAACAGAAATTCATATTGCTAAACCTTTTGCTTTTCAAATGGGAAATCTGATGCTTCACTTTGTGTGTTCTGTGACATGTACTGATTTTTCAGAATCTCCCCAAAGAGAGTTATTGTAAGTCCTGCTCCTTGCCTGATCTGTTAATGAGGATCCTGACAAACTGTCTTGAACATTCTTAAGCTTTGCTTAGTGCTTCTCCTCTCTCCTCTTCTCTCCTCTCTCCATCCCCTCTCCCCCTCTCTCCTCTTCCCTCCCTTCTCCTTTCTTTCCTTTCCTTTCCCTTCCCATTTTCTTTTCTTTTCTCCTTTCCTTATCCATTTCGCTTTCTGTTACATAGATTTCTTTTCTTTTCCCACCTGCCTTTCTTTCTTGAGGGCTGCTTTGCCCTTTACCATGGGTCTTATGAAGTTGATGTAGTTCTACAAATCTAACACACTCCTTTAGCAAGTATGTTAGATGCAGTAGAAGCTCTTGTCAACATACAGATATGCTTGAACTATCTTGCAGGAGGATGAAAAGACAAGTCTTGTTCATATTGGCAGATCTTTGTTTCTAGGATAAAACAGGAAAGAAGGCCATGGTGGGATGCACTTTCTTTCTTTCTTTCTTTCTTTCTTTCTTTCTTTCTTTCTTTCTT